CTCCTATCAGGATTATATTTTACTGTGAACACCCATTTACTGCTAACCATTGTCTTACTTTTAGGCAGGATTGTAACCTTCCAAGTTCCATTCTTATGAAGGGCTCTTAATTCCTCCTTGATGCCCTGTTTCCAGTTTTGATTTGAAATAGCCTCATTTAAATTCTTAGGAATCTTCACATTTTCTACATTGGCTACAAAAGTCTTTAGATGAGGAGAAAGCTTATTGTAAGACACATACTTATTGATAGGGTGTTGAGTACAACTCCTCTTACCTTTCCTTAGAGTAATGGGCTAATACAGGTCTTCAAGACGTGGTATAGGTGGAAAATCATGATGCTGTGTTGGAGTAGTAATGGGCATTGCTTCGTTATGTTATGGTTCTGTGTTATGAGTAGAAGATCTTGTGGTTTCTATTAGCTCTTGTTCAGAAAGAGAATTTAGAGGTTCACAAGGGTTTCTGTTTTGAAACACAAATCTGTTCAGCGGAAGTTTAGGTCTGATTGGGTTCTGTTCAGTCCTTACAGGACTATTTTGAGGTTCATTGGTTGATCCTGTATTAGAAGGGGAAGTAATAGTCATATTAGTAGGAAAGGTAAATGGCATATCTAAATGTATTGGAGGGTCTATACAGGCTGAGGAATCAGGTTTTTTGTCAAAATAGTCATAAATTATCCAATCATTTTCCTATTTCCCCCTTGAGTGGGTGATTGGTGATAATATGGTTGTTTTTCGACAAACTTCACACTCATTGAAATGTAGATTTTGTTAGTAATAGGAGAGTAATAGTTATATCATTTTTGGGTAGAGCAGTATCCAAGAAAAATACATTTTATTGCTCTTGGATCTAGTTTCCCCCCATGTCCATTGTAAACAAAGGTATTGCAGCCGAACACCTTTTTTGTGAGAGAGTCAACAAGAGAAGAGTTGGGAATGAGCACAAGAAGTTTTTGTAGAGGGCTTTTAAAATTTAGGACTTTAGAGGGCAGCGGTGAGTATGTCATCCCCCTAAAACCTTAAAGGGACATTGCTTGTGATCATTAGAGCTCTAGCTACTTCAAGAAGATGTCTGTTTTTTCTTTCAAAAATTCCATTTTGTTGAGAAGAGTAGGCGCAAGATATTTAGTGAGGGGTACCATTAGTAACCAAAAAATTTTCAAAAGTGGAGTTTACATATTCCTTTTCGTTATGTGTTCGAAAAATTTGTATAGAAGCATGGAACTGATTTTTAATAAAAGCATAGAAATGTTGAAAAACAGATTAAAAAAAATTTCAGATTTATCCTTTGTTAGAAAACCCAAGTTAGGCGTGTATGATCACCAATAAATGTTACAAACCAGCGAGCTTTTGAATTTGTTTCAAGGGTTAAGGTGCAATTTTAACAACAAAGTTTTTCCGAAAGAGCATTGGGCACCATAAAGTTTATTTGGGTGCAAAAATATACATGAAATTGTCAAAAGGGAGCATCTGGCACCATGCCGTTAATGTCCGTCAGTTTACCGTTAGAGGGGCCCAGAAAGTCAGTTTTAAGGTGCATTTTTAACAACAAAGTTTGCATCAAGGGGCATTAGGCACCATGAAATTTATTTGGGTGTAAAAATATACATGAACTTTGTAAAAGGAAAAAAATAACAAAATTCTTCAACCTCCATAAACATCCATTAATTTTATTCTTTTTGGTCTCACCAAATGCTATATTTTCTCTCTATAAATTTTCACTTCCAAGCCGATCCATCTTTCTTTCATCATAGTCAACACGCACACTCTCTCTGTCATGTTGTTTTCTGAGCCTCCAAGCCTTTTATATGTATTTAAGCAAAACACATCTTTCTCTTCTAGGATATAAAGTTCATTACTTGCACCCGAGTACTACCTCCAGTCCTTAATATACGATCCAATGAACTAATTTGAGGAGATTAAAATAAATAAATAAATTACTTTAAATATTATATTATTTATTTATTTGACGCAATAGCATATAGTACATGATCTCTCTAAAATATTTATATGCATCATTAAATTATATATTAGTTTACAAGCCAAGAAAATTAATTTGGAGAAAAAACAATAAATATAATATTTTAAAGTAATTTATTTATTTATTTTTAATCTCCTCAAATTAATCCATTGCATTCTATATTAAGGACTGGAGGTAGTACTTGGATGCAAGCAATCAACCTTATATCCTAGAAGGGAAAGATGTGTTTTACTTAAATACATATAAAAGGCTTGGAGGCTCAGAAAACAACATGACAGAGAGAGTGTGCGTGTTGACTATGATGAGAGAAAGATGGATCGGCTTGGAAGTGGAAATTTACAGAAAGAAAATATAGCATTTGGTGAGACCAAAAAGAATAAAATTAATGGATGTTTATGGAGGTTGAAGAATTTTTTTTCCTTTTACAAAGTTCATGTATATTTTTACACCCAAATAAATTTTATAGTGCCTAATGCCTCTTGATGCAAACTTTGTTGTTAAAAATGCACCTTAAAACTGACTTTCTGGGCCCCTCTAACGGTAAACTGATGGACATTAACGGCATGGTGCCAAATGCTCCTTTTTGACAACTTCATGTATATTTTTGCACCAAACTTTATGGTGCCCAGTGCTCTTTCGGGAAAACTTTGTTGTTAAAATTGCACCTTAACCCCAGTTTCAAACTTAGATGGCCCTCTCAATCATCACTATGCATAAGAGAAAAAGGATGTGAGGATTTATAAGGCTGAGAAGGATAAGTGTTTTGAACTTATTTTGCAAAATAGCAAGTGTCACAGCGATGGCTCACTATCAATAACAAAGGGTAGGTGCTTGTCCAAAAGTGTGTGCAGTAACATCAACTCATCATGACTAAAGGCATTGTCTATAGTAGATGTGGCGCCTACTATCATTCCCTTACTGCCAGGTTTGCCCTTCTACTTGTTGTTGGGTGGCTTCTTGTGTAGCTTCCAACACACCTCTTGGGTGTGACGAGTTTTATGATAATGGTCACACCACTTATTGCCCCTCTTGGGTGTGAGTCATGGACAACAAGAGTAGAGGAGTTAGTGGAATTAAAAGGGATATTTGAGATAGTAGTTAATACCTTTCTACTCTTCTCAAATTTCACAATGTTGAAGGCTTCAAGGAGAGTGGGAAGTGGCTTAAGACTCATGATCCTAGCTCACACATCTTTATAGGAGTCATCAAGGTTGAGAAGAAACTTGTAGCAGCATTTCTAATCTAATAATTTTTTGTAGTACAATGCTGTAACAGTGCTTGGCCATTCATGAACATCATAGAGGTCTACTTGCTGCTAAAGTTTCATTAGAGCAGTATAATAACGAGTAACAGATTGGTCACCTTTAGTTAAGTCATGAAGTTGTCGCTTAACTTGAAACAGGGCCACTGTGTTTTCAGCGACAAAGTACGTAGTTTTGGCTGAATCCCATATTTCTTTGGCTATGGTGGCAAGAAGATAGTTTGCACCAGTATCAATAATCATGGAGTTCACAAGCCGTGTCATTACTAGGTTGTTTTTCGCATATCATGTAGTAAACTGGGAGTCAAAGGAAGCTAGTAGAGATTCGATGATATATCTCTCTTTATTGCAACCCTGAATAAACATCAAAACGTAGTAAGACCATTGTAAATATTTATTCCCATTTAGGCAATGGGTAATTGGAAAAGCATCATTGGTTGGAGAGGGTAGAATTAGGGCTAGCACCCCTTGGTCGGATGAACTGGAGTTGCTATTGTCAGCAGCAAAAATGTGCGACTGCAAGACGGTAGCCTTGAACACCATTTAGGGTAGGGTTTGATCACAACTCTGATACCATGAAATATTTTTGAATAATACGTTGTATATTACTGAATAATAGCTTTACATGATATATAGGAGAGGGGGGAATAATATGAATTAATGCAAATAATCCTAATTAATGTAGATATGATTCTGCTTCCCAAATTATTCCTAGAATCACAGAGAGAATATGAGATAATGACCAGATTTTATCCTAATCTAACCGTCCCATGATTTATGCCTAAGTGATCCTAGAGAATTAGGTTAAGCCTTAGCTACTAGGCCTTAGGTGGCGGACCCACATTCCCACAATCATCATGACGTCATTTTTTATTTAAATAATTATCCATCTGTGGTGAGGCAAGTCTTTAGGGGGAAATAGAGGCATTAAAGTAAATTTATAATTTCAATTAAAATGTAACCTAAATTAAATAAGATTACATATAGATATAGTTATCTCATCTTTATTGTAGTAAGGCCATAAGCCACTTAATAACCCTTAGTCTGTTTCCACTCCTGTTTTTCAACATATGCTTGACACATTTTAACGTGTGTATTTATCTCATCTTTATGAGTTGTTTGACAACCTTCAAACCATATTTCAGAAGCATTTTTTCGCAAAACGAAGCAAATTCCTCCACATATTTACTTTGTAAACCGTAAAAACATTTCTAAAACTATGGTTTGGTTTCTATCCAAACACCCCCTTATTGTATTTTGTAAATTTAAGGGCTTTGATAGACTTTAACCGTTTTATCTTGAAGCTTCCAAGTTAAAAGTTAAACATATGTAATGTAAACTAAATCAAATTTGTGACAATCTTGATTATCCAACTATGTTAAAAGCCAAAGTGATAAACAGTTAAGAGATTATACAAAACAAAACTTTATAAATGATCGTACGTTGGAAGATATGTTTAATGAACAGTCAAAATTGCCAATCCATTAAACGTATCCTTGGGCTTACGATCACTTAGAGAGCTTTGTTTTGTATGGTCTCTTAGCTACCCATCACTTCGGCTTTCTAATATAATTGGACAATACAAAATTGCCGTCAGAACAAGATCAATGATTTTAACTTACATTATTGTTTTTAACTGCTAACCAGGACGCTCTAAGACGAAAATTGGTTTAGTCTATCAACGTCACTAAACTTAGAAACTACCATAAATATACAAACTGGTATATATGGCATATGTGAAAATGGCAACAAATAATGCAGCTTTTACAATACCCCACTTTCACTTTTCCTCTCCCCAAAAACTCAAAGAGGCAAGAAACAGTGCCACTGTTGCGTTCACAGGTAAATCAACAAGGGAAAAAAATTGAACACAAAAAACACAGAGACATGGGTTTGAAAAGAAAATAACATGGGCAAACAAACTTGATCAAATTTGTTCTTTTGTGTGTGTGTGTGTGTTTGTGTGTGTAGATATGTGCCCCCCATGAAGATAAGCCGCCAAGGTAGCTCAAATACATACTGTCGATTATTCTGGTAGAAGTTGTCCACCTGGTAATAAATATAAATAGGCGACTTCTGTTTTTCCACCTTATCTAAAGGAATAAAACATTATAGTGTGAACAACATATTCACGAGAACATAATAAACGATATGAACATAATCAGACAATTATAAAGAGAAATTTCTATCAACAAATTAAAGCTTTAATTATATGCAAAGCTTTAATTTGGATGAAAGCTACCTTGTCAATGTAATTACTTGATAGCGATGTAGACCCATATATACCTATCAACAACCTGATAGAGAAAAGAAAATCATACTTAGCATTAAATCAGACTTAACTGATAAATTCAAAACGTGCTTAGCGTATAGGGAAGCAACTCCAATAGGAATGAAAGTGACAAGCCAGAACGCTCAAATAACCTGCAAAATGTGTTAAATAAAATAAAAGTTCCTTCATGTTCAAACCATAATTTTCACGACCATGTAAATTGCACATATTATTATTGCGGGCAATTCGTAAAAATATATAGGTACTTTTACCTGACCTTCTCGTGCAAGAATTGGCTTGCACGCTGGAAGGAACCAAAAAAAAAAAAGTTAAAAAGATATCTCTTGTCTGTAAAGTTTACATGACAAAAAAGCAATTGTTGTTCAACTAGCCAAGAAACTACAAAGAACTCAAAAACCAAGAAGCCATGTCCATACATGCCGTCATTTGAAGATCAAGATACTATCAACTCTCCAAAAACCAAGGTGAAAACTAGCGACCTTCCTCTTTCCAAGAATCCAATCACGCATTTCAAGGGATATACACGAGACCAGCATCAAAAAATCATAATTTAATCACAAAAATTAAGGTTAATAAAGCAAGACATATGATCAGATATCAGAAACTACAACTTGGGTCGCTTGGTCTGTCTTCTCGCAGCTGTTACTGAATCAGTTGATCCGGAAACTCCTGATCTTGGGGACGCCATAATTGAATCCGCCTCCGAGCCCCCCAAAGATTTCCCCGTTCTGAAAAACCCTTTGATTCAAAGGAAAAACCCACCTGAGCCAGAAGAGAATCGAAGAAGATGAAGACGACAAAGACGATGAAGAAATAATGGGAATTAAAGAAACTCTTGAAATTTAGGAAAGAAAATAGATATATATATTTATATGATTATGATGTTCTTCTTGCTTAACGAGGAAGGTGAGTGTCTTTCGCTGTTTCGCTCCTTACTTGTTATGATTTGACTTCTTTTACGTTTCTGGTCGCTTTGCATTGTTCAAGCAAGGGAATATTGTGGTTGGCGGCAAAGTGAAGTGATTTTCCCCTCTAAACCTTGGCTATTATGATATGGGAGAATTCTAATTAAATCTGGTTGAAATATCATAATTTAAATTAAGGCCTACACTTTTAACAAATTCTTAATTAGGCCATTAAGTCTTATTAAGGGTTTTTGAATGCCGTTAAAAGACTAAAATATCTATTTAAAGTAACAAATTGATAATTGGTCCAATCAATTTATGATCTAAATTCTTTTTCCTTGAGATATGCTGCTAGATGAACCATCAGCTTCACATGTTCTTACTCCACATGTTGTTAAAAGAGTAAAATGTATGATTTTTTTTTTTGTATAAATTTATATTAAGAAGTTCATATTACTCCATCCATCCCATGAAACGTTAGAAAATTTATTTAGATTTCTAATACAAACTCATATTAATTATTAGTAAAAATTTTAGCAATAAGATATAATATGATGAGAACATCTATATGGTATATATAACAAAGCACTTAAGAAAATGACAAATTTGATGCTGAAATATCCTAATACATTAAGATTCCAATTTTTCAACTCTAAGCAAAGAAAGATTTCCTTTGAAAAATTATTAATTTAATAGTGTTGGGATCAAATAATTAAAAGGTCCTATTTCCATTATCAAAAAAAAGTCCCCTTTCCCATAAATTTCTTATCAATATATCAGAATTAGTATTAAATATTATATTATGCATTGTCAATTTTTTGTTCTTAGTATTTCTAAAAAAATTTATGTAAAACATTTTGTATAAATAAATACTATATAATGTCAAGTTTTCATGGTTTAATTTTTTTCAAAATAATATTATTTTAGATTATAAAAGGACATTTTAGTATTTTAACAATATTTAAAAATTTCTAATAAGGCTTATTGGCCTGGTTAGGGATTTATTAAAAGTGCAGATTTTAATTTGAATTTTGATATTTTAACCGGATTTAATCAGGATAGCTATTACATAACAACCAAAACAGAAAAAAAAAAAATCTTTTTTACCAAAAAAAAAAAGAAATCTTTATTATATCACAACTTGTGGATCTTGATCTAAACAAGATTCAAGGTGACCCCAAAAATCTTTAATTAATAGTTAATTAATTAATCAAGTAATTAATTAAAAGTAATAATATGCGTATACGCTACACATGTAGATTTATGTACAAATAAAATCATCTGTGACACTTATTATGAAACGGAGGAATAAACAAAGGAAAATATTTTCCTTTTTTTAATAGAAAGCAAAATCTTTTCTTAATCAATGTTAATTTGCTTGGACTTTGGACTAGATGCGATGCGGTTTGGCTCAATTAGAAATAATTCGTCTTTGATCTCCACAATCAATAGGGCTTTTTCCATGAATGAAGCTTCTTCATCCGGGACTAATGAGGAAAATCCAAAGATTCGTTTTTAATTAGTAGCATTCTCATAATCCAGATATTCCCCCTAATATGATTGCATTCTCATAATCCAGATATTCCCCCTAATATGATTGCATTATCACAACTTGTGTGTTTGATTTATTATTTTTTTCATACAAGTTTGATTTGTTATTTCACTCTGGAATCATGATTCCTTAATTACGAAAGCTTCACACTGATTTATAACAAATGTGGAATAATTATATATATCAAAATTTGAAGATGGGTCAAAAAAGGGGTTTGGGAAGTAAATTAGAGGTTTCCCAGATCCACCAGCACCAGGTGGTCAAGGGTTCTCTCAAGACTGGAGCATTGTGTATTGGCCATTGTAAAGATATTATAATATTGACCCATTAATACAAATAGTATGGGATTAGATGTTGCATTATTTTTGCGAATCAGTTTATGGATAGGTTTGCATCTTTATCCTTGAATCCTCAATCAAAATCTTGACCCTTTTTTGTGAAGCCGCGCTAAATTCCTTAGCAAGAGGAGAATTTTCTTCTCATGCAAGCAAAATGGCAGGGAGAAAATCTCTTTCAGTTCTTGGCCCAAATGGCTGAATTTCCGAGAGCTAGTCACCATTCTTGAATCCTCGTGCAAAATTGCGGATTTTTTTTTCCGATGAAGCCACATTGAATTCCGATATCTGGGGAGAATTTCCTTCTCAAACAAGTGCAATAGCTGAAACAAAATCTCCTTTAAGTTCATGTCCCAAATAGCAGAGCTTCTAAGATCTATTCATCGTTCTTGAATCCTGATGCAAAGTTGTGAGATTTTTCTTCTCATGTAAGCAGAAATCTATTTCAGTTCACGGCCCAAATGGCAGAATTTCTGAGACCTATTCACCATTCTTGAATCCTCATGCAAAAGCGTGCGTTTTTTTTTTGTGAGGCCACGCTGAATCCCGACGCAACAGGTGATTTTTCTTCTCATGCAGGCAAAATGGCTGAGAGAAAATCTATTTCGGTTCACAACCCAAATGGCGGAATTTCTGAGACCTATTCACCATTCTTGAATCCTCATGCAAAATCGTGAGTTTTTCTTGTGAACCCACGCTGAATTCATATATCTAGGGAGAATTTCCTTTGTCAAGCTGTGCTAAAACAAAATCTCTTTTTAGTTCATCACCCAAATGGCAGAATCTCTTAGACCTATTCATCATTCTTGAGTCATCATGCAAAATCGTGAATTTTTGTCAAGCAACACTGAATTTCTAGGCAAGGGGAGAATTTCCTTCTCATCAAGCAAAATGGCTGAGAGAAAACCTATGTCAGTTTATGGCCTGCATGGCAGAATTTTTGAGACATATTCACCATACTTGAATCCTCATGCAAAATCGTGAGTTTTTTTTCCCCTTGTGAAGTCGCGCTGAGTTCTGAGATCTAGAGAGAATTTCCTTCTCACACAAATACAATGGTTGAAATCAAGTCAGGGCCCAACTACCAGAATTTCTGGCACCTTTTCATCATCCTTGAATCCTCAATCAAAATCTTGACCCTTTTTTGTGAAGCCGCGCTAAATTCCTTAGCAAGAGGAGAATTTTCTTCTCATGCAAGCAAAATGGCAGGGAGAAAATCTCTTTCAGTTGTTGGCCCAAATGGCTGAATTTCTGAGAGCTAGTCACCATTCTTGAATCCTCGTTCAAAATTATGGATTTTTTTTTGTGAAGCCATGTTGAATTCTGATATCTGGGGAGAATTTCCTTCTCAAACAAGTGCAATAGTTGAAACAAAATCTCCTTTCAGTTCATGTCCCAAATAGCGGACCTTCTGAGATCTATTCACCGTTCTTGAATCCTGATGCAAAGTCGAGAGTTTCTTTTATGAGGCCACGCTAAATCCCTCAGCAAGGGGAGAATTTTCTTCTCATTCACGTAAAATGGCAGGGAGAAAATCTCTTTCTGTTCGGGCCCCAAATGACGGAACTTCTGAGATCTGTGCACCATTCTTGAATCCTAATGCAAAATCGTGAGTTTTTTTGTGAGGCCACACTAAATTCCTTAGCAACGGGAGAATTTTCTTCTCATGGAAGTAAAATGGCAGGGAGAAAATCTCTTTCAGCTCATGGGCCAAATAGCGGAATTTTTTAGACCCATTCACCATTCTTGAATCCTCACACAAAATTGTTAGTTTTTTTTATGGGGCAATGACGAATACCTGAGCAAGGGGGGAATTTTCTCCCCTTACAAGCAAAATAGCCGAGAGAAAATCTATTTCAGCTCATAGCCTAAGTGGCAGAATTTCTGAGACCTATTCACCACTCTTGAATCCTCATACAAAACTGAGTTTTTTATGATGCCACACTGAATTTTGAGGAAACAGGAGATTTTTCTTCTCATGCAAGCAAAATGGCTAAGCGAAAATCTATTTCGGTTCACAGCCCAAATAGCGGAATTTCTGAGACCTATTCACTATTCTTGAATCCTCATGCAAAATCGTGAGTTTTTCTTGTGAAGCCATGTTGAATTCATATATCTAGGGAGAATTTCCTTTGTCAAGCTGGGCTGAAACAAAATCTCTTTTCAGCTCATAAGCCAAATGGCAGAATCTCTAAGACCTTCTCCCTATCCTTGAGTCATCATGCAAAATCGTGAGTTTTTTTTTTTTCTGTGAAGCCACGTTGAATTTTGAGGCGACGGGAGATTTTTCTTCTCATGCAAGCAAAATGGCTGAGCCAAAATCTATTTTAGTTCTTGGCCCAAATGATGAAATTTCTGAGACCTATTCACCGCCATTCTTGAATCCTCATGCAAAATTGTGAGTTTTTTTTCGTGAAGACACGCTGAATTTTGATTTCTGGGGGGAATTTCCTTCTCAAGCTACATCGAAACAAAATCTCTTTTCAGTTCATGACGCAAATGGCAGAATTTCTTAGACCTATTCACCATTCTTGAGTCATCATGCAAAATCATGAATCCTTTTCGTCAACCGATGCTGAATTTCTAGGCAACGGGAGAATTTCTTTCTCACGCAAGCAAAACGGCCGAGAGAAAATCTATTTTAGTTCATGGCCCCCATGGCAGATTTTCTGAGACATATTCACTATCCTTGAATACTCATGCAAAATCGTGCCTTTTTTTTTTGGTGAACCATGCTGAGTTCCAAGATTTGGGAGAATTTCGTTCTCACACATACACAATGCCTGAAACAAGTTCTCTTTCAGTTCATGGCCCAACTGCAAGAATTTCTCAGACCTTTTAACCATCCTTGAATCCTCAATCAAAATCGTGATTTTTTTTTTGTGAAGCCACACTGAATTCCAATGCGAGAGAAGATTTTCCTTCTCTTGCAAGCAAAATGGCTGAAAGAAAATCTGTTTCAGCTCGAGGCCCAAGTGGCAGATTTTGTGAGACGTATTCACCATTCGTGAATCCTCGTGCCAAATCGTGACTTTTTTTTGTCAACCCACACTGAATTTCAAGGCAGGGGATGAT